GAGTAGACGTCACCTAAATCTTCGGTTTAACGATCCGGAGGACATCGATCCACCGTTCGATCGTCACCGATCGTTGTCGCGTCGGAATTAAGTAACAAAACGAACGGCAGCGAACGTCTAACGACACGGTGATTTCCTCGGTAAAAAGAAGTCGAACGGTTCGCGCACGCGAACGCGTCCTCTCGCATCGAGCGCGATTATAAACCGAAAATTTACGAGCCTCTCGAAGCCCGCGAGAGAATTCTTTTCCTCCCTATCTTGTCCCGTCCTGTCTCGAGACTTTGTCGCGTCGCGAGTTTTATCGTCGTCGCGGTTTTAAGTGTCCCCCGCGAGACATTGTCGCCGAGGTCCTTCCTCCCGCGACCTTCGCTTCGTTACGATCCACCGTGTTCGTCCATTTCCCTTCTATTATATATCTTTGGGTAGCGACATCGTACCTAGAGAACAGTACCCGAACGACTCTACTTCGCGATTCGCTGACTCGCGCTTGGTTGTAAAATCCATTTAACCCTGTGGAACACGCGTTACGAACTTTAAGGCAAACGACGCTCGATCGATCCCGATGTTCGTTTCCCGTTCTCCGTCAACGATTTCCGGGCATAGGCGGTTTTACGAGCGATTCCCCCTTTTTTCCAGCGGTGTCCATCTCGAGGCTGGCTCGAGTTTTATCGCGTCGCGTCGGTTGTTTGCTTTAATTAGTAGGTCCTAGATTTAATTAAGAATGGTACCGGGTCGCTTTATTGGGCCGCAAACGACCGGGCCACGACGAGGTCGCGACGAACAGCCGTTGTCTTTTGTTTCGAACGAGCGAAGAAATTCCACGTCGAATCGATCTGTACGGTATAATATCCCTTTCTCTCGGCCGATCCTCCCGGGACGGTTTCGCGGCTGTTCCGAGCAACCGGCTTCCGCTCCGTCCCGCCGCTTCTCACGGTCCCAGCTATTAGCCAGGCATAATTTATTACTTTCCACCGTAATAAGCATAATAATCGGCGCGGCCGGTTGTTCGCGCGCTCGCAGCCCGCGACCTTCGACCCAGAGACGATCTTTAAGGTAGCCTGCGCGCGGTTGCGGACGTTTAATGATGCCGGAGGCTGCGCCGATTCGGTGGATCGCGAATGGAAGCAACGAATCCGAGACAAGGGAAAAAGGGAGAAGCAAAAGCCGAAACACGAGCACCAACGACGAAATCGTAACTCCTTCGAGTCTTCTTCCTTTTTAACGGCCATTTCTCGCGAACCCCTTGTTCGCTTCTCTATTTATAGCGAGGATACCGGTCGGACAGCGCGCGATCGTGTATGCTTTTTGGGTATCCCGGTGTTCCAACTACCGACTCTCGTCCTTTTCGCTCCATGCCGATTTACACGTGCTTTTATTATCTTCCGACTATCGGATAAGAGGTACATCGATACAAATTGTCAGTCTACCGTTCGAGATGTTCGACCAAGCCATTATAAAATGCTCGGGGATTTTTGGAAGTTCGCTCGACTCCCCGAGGGCGAAGCTGTCTCCTAGAGAAAAATAGCGAAGCAGGAAGCATCGAAACGAAGAGCGTTCGTACCGATCTCGAAATGGATATACCTCGTGCCGCGAACAATGTCGCCGGAGGCGCGTTTCGCGAAAGGCGTAGCTCGGTAGCCGGGTTCTCGTGCATCCTGGTAGCCGTGCACGGAGACAAACGCGAAGAGGGAGAGAGAGTGGTTGCGCTGTCGCGCTGCGTGGCTCGCGGTAATAGGATTTCACGTAAGCAGCCTCCCAGGCAGCGGCCAAAAATCGAAGGAGCTTACGGCGCGACGGCAGGATGCGCCGCGCCGCGTCGTCGGCCGGTGCAGCTCGACGAACGAAAGCGAAACGGAACGGCCGAGGAAAAAAGAAGGGAGCCGACGCGAGCAGAGGCGGTACTGGAACTGGAAGTCTGCGAGGATACCACGAGTCGAACGAAGAGAGGAGCGGAGGGACGCGGAGGGCTGCGAGAAAGAAAGACGTCCGGCCCGTACAATTTTAATTAACCCGGTACCGGGTAGCCGATCGCGATCGAATCGGGTGCACGATCTACAAGGAATCTACATAAGATCCTCCACTCGCGGCTACAACTCAATCCCCTCTTTCTATTCCGCTCGCTCGGCCCTTGAACGTGGCCCGCCACGGACTCCTTTCTCTCTCTTTCCCTCTCTCTTCGTGGATCCGGGGGACACGAACAACCCGGCACAATCTTTGCGCTCCCGCCGTGGCTTCTCCTCGTCCCTTATCTTGGCCAGCATCGAAGATAGCGAGCTCTCCGCGAGCTGGCTACTCGCCAGCAACCGAGCTCATATTGTTCTCCGTGCGGCGTGTAACTTACCGAGAAACAGAGACGGAGAACAAGGGAACGGAGGCCTCTTCTCGCTTCGACGTTTTTCTTTTTCCTTTTTTAAGATGGCCACGAGGACCTTAACGAACTACGATTTCTGCTTCTCTTGCCACCGAGACCAGAGGCGTTTCAGCTTGCCTCCTGGTTAGGCCTTCGTCGAGGCAAGTATGACGCGCGTCGCAGGACTCGATAACCTTCGTTTATCGTTCCTGTACGCGGATGCACGAATTAACGCCAGGTATTTTAGATCGACGTCGATCTTGCTAGGAGAAAGAAAAAGATCATGACATTACAGGTATCCTCTCGCTCGCGCGTCTCTACGGACTCGAACAGTAGCGGGTCGTACGAGAACGACAATCGTAGAAAGCCTGAACGATTCTCGACGAACCACCGTCGGCGTCTCCTCTTACTGTTCAGCCTCCGAATCGTCCGAGAGTCCCGCTCGTGTTCTCGCGTCCGCGCGTATTAGACCGCGAGGCGGAGGACTCACCCATACGGAGAAGCTCGGTAACACGATAGCGGGTCGTATGTAAAACCATCTGGTGTAAAACGAGCTGCTGACTCGTTCGAGTATTAAATCGGCCCTCTCTCACCCCTGTTCCTCCTACGGTCCACCCTCTCGCGCTCCGTTAGCCGTCGACGCTCTCGATCGCCCTCTTCGACCTTTCTCGCTTCGATTCGGTCCCTTTATCCGACTCGGTTCTTTCCTCTCGAGCGACTGCTCGCGGCCACGGCGCAAACACTCTCGGTACGATGCGCCGCCACGCCGCGCCGGCCCGGCTCGGACGTCGCGACGCGCACCGGATGAACTCGTTGCCGTTCACGTGTCGTCCTCGAACGCGGAACGTCCGCTCGATCGCACGTCTTCTCGCGTTAAAGTCTCGGCTTAATCGGCCGATTCGTCCGCGAAACAAAGAGCGGCCTCCTCGCCGCGATCGTCGGATACTCGAAAGAATGCCGCTTCGAGTTTTCTTCGGGGAAAAACGCAACCTCGACGGCGCGTAAGGAATTTATACGGTTAAACACGGCGTAGACACCGCTCGGCCAGCCATATAAAAGACACTTTGCGCCGGTTAATGGGCAATTAAAGGCCGAGTTTACGTTTTCAGCGGAATACATTAAGCGCGTTGTCCTTGTCCGCGATGGTGGTCGCCTTCTCGAAAACTGGGCCAACAAAGGATTACGGATGTTTGCGTTTCTTCCAGTCCAACTTGCCTTCTCCTAGAACGTCCCGCGCTCGAGATTAACCTCGCGACTGCACTGTATCGTCGTTCCTATTCCGTACCCGATAATTGGCTTTTCATAGATATTTCACGTACTGCCGATTGGAGATTATAATTTCCAGCTGTTATTACAGCGTAGTCAAACTTTTATTTTACCTCCATTCTTCGTTAACGATCGTTTCTGAAGCTTGACACAATGTATGCACGAAATATTACCCATATTTGCTTCGTATCTAATAATTTGCGATAAGGTAATTTGCACCATACGAATTACCTCCAACATTCCAGTGATTGAAGATAATATTTTTTCTTCCGGCGATTAAAAATATTGTGTTTCTACTTCTATTTTACGTACCGTATACTTTGCATTTTTTCCTACATTTTCGTATATTTTCAGCGCATAATATACCGTTATAAACAAGAAGCCTACGATCGAACCGAAACTGTTCGAATAATCGTCCAGTTTCTTCTCCTCCCAGTTTCGTGGCTTTCGTGCAACCGAGGATGCTGCGAACCGGACGCGTTTAATAATAATACAGGCCCATCTATCACCCGCTTAATGAGAAAGAAGTCGTACGCGTACACGTCGTGCGCCGCCACGGTTCACGGGACCCTTGTTAATCGCGTTACCTAGCTTCGTTGCTCGCCTATTTAAAACGCACACCGCTTATCTACCAACTACCGACTGCAACAATATTTTCAACACCGGCACGCACGCACGACTTCGCTCCGTGGCCGAGCTTCGAAGCCTCTCTGCCGTGAATCTCCTCCGAATCGAGAGCTTCCAATTACAAGACTATTCGTTACTCCCTTTTCGGAATATTGTCGTGTTCAGAGGCAGTTCTTTAAATCAACTATCGACGATGCTGATTTTATGATAGCTGGAAACTATTAAAGATATATCATAGTTCGGCTTAGATAGCATCAACGACTAATTGAATGATAATTAACGGCGATTTACGGATACAAATCCGACGTGTCAGATCGACGAGTGTGATATGGAACGTTGAAGCACGGAAGCGTAGGAATGTTGCTACGCGTTTACTAGCCGCGTGGCTCTCCGTTCGCGTTCTCGATTATGAACTGTTCCGCTCCGGGGGTTTCAGTTCCTATTTCGAACTAAAGGAGATTAACAGAGACGAACAGAAAATCTGACAAGAAAGAAAGGCGATAGATGGTTGAGAAATTTCACCTACTGGTCCAGACACGTAAATCTGTTAGTTTGACAAGGCTCTATCTACTTACGCCATATTTCGTTATCGTGCTTTGCCTGTTCTATCGTATCGTTCTAAATCCGATAACATTGTACTAACTAGCACGAAGAAACATAAAGTTGTAAGAATTAACGCGATTTCGCGAGAGCTTGGCGGTTAATAAAATCGCGAAGATGCGACCTGGAGTATCTTAAAGAAAGCCCTGCCACTGACCTTTCTCGTAGTTGATTTGCCTCTCCTGTTGCCTCGCGTTGTCGGCCGCGACCTTGAGCAAGCCCTGGATATTCCTGAGCAGGGTCTCCGTACTCGAGACCGAGGGATCCTGGCCTCCCTGAGAAACGGCCACCGCCGCTGAGGCTATCTGCGAGTAGTTCAACGCCTGAGGACTCTCGGATCCCGGCGCAGGCAACGGCAGGTTCTCCGGCACGTCCGACAAATCTGAAAAATTCAACGCATCCGTTCGATTTCGAGTATTTCGTGTGGAAATTACGAGGAGAGAGGAAAAATTTGAAAAGTTCTTGTCGGAGATCGACGAGAGCGGTGGGATGGTTGGTAAAATGGTGGGAGACGGGGTGCCCCTTGGCCTCCGCGATGGAGATAATTGTAATGGGTTTGGTGGAAGGACAGGACGTAAGGCGGTGGAAACGGTCGTCGAGGAGAGATCGAAGCGAAAAAAGGTGAAAATAAGGCGAGAAGGAGAACCGTTCGCTATCAAAAGGTGCCGGCGGATCGGTGTATCGAAGGCAGGCAAGCAGGCGAGCAGGTAAGGCAGGCAGACGCGCGAGCATTAAATCGGCCAATGGCAATAAGTAACCGAACACTGTGGCGTTGTAGGTGCGCGCTGATAATTAAAAGACGATACAATAAAGCACGTATCATTGGTCATAAAGCAAGCCGAGGCTAAAGCCCACGGTGTGGGCCGTACCACGAGCGGTCACTTAAGCAGGGAGAACCCACGCAGACGTCTTGTCTCGCCACTCCGAACCTCTTCGGCAATAACCATAAGGCATCCTTTATTCCGGCCGGATCTTTCGATGCCTCGACCCGGCTCCTCTCACCCCTTCGACCACGAAAACCATGCTTCCAGGCTAATCGTCGATACAGACGAGAATAACGAGGCTACTCCCGCTTTTAGCGCGAGAACTCGCGATCTACCTCCGGCGAAAAGGAAAAACGAACAAGCTGGAAGGAAAGGTCGCGAGCTATCTCGAGTTCGTGGCTAGTTTACGTTCCGAACGACGAACGAGTCCTTCGAAGAATTCTCGCAGGTTTTCCCTCCGAATTCGAACGAACATCGACGATAAATCGTGGATCGCCGTTGGATCCGATAATTTCGAGAAATTTAGCCAATCGTGTGAGATTGCCGGAACAACGGGAAAAAATGAGATTTTCACGCGTGTACGACTAATCGTGGCCTCGGTGTTCTATGTTCGGTTCGTGTCACGCCGTTTCATTCTTGAATTTAATTCGTCCGCGATGAAGTTAAATCAGAAACGTGGCGAAGGGTAACAAGTAGTCGTCGCGGGATTACGACTCTGGAACACGCACGCGTTGTAAGTCTCCTCGAAGGAGCGCGAGACCTCCCTCGAACGTTGTTCCGGCGATCCTTTCGCAAAATTTATCGCCGACTCCAGTCTCTCCCTCCCTCTCTTTCGAATAACCACGGTCTCTGGACACAAAGGTCTGGATCGAAGGAGCGTACGGGGTTCGATTAACCCTTCGACGATCAGCCGTGCAAGATAGTTACAACCGACGGAAGATCGGAGAAACTTCCGCGAAACGGTCGCGAGTCTGTTGGTGCGAGTGCTAGTCGGGATCGAGACGAATCTTTAGGAAGTCGAGGAAACAGAAACGAAGGAATATCGCGGTAGATCGAATTCCAAGAACGAGAGCGAGATAGCGGCGCGTCTCATTAAATCAGAACTGCATTCCACGACCGTGTACACTCCCACGGCCGTTCGATGGGGTTCTACTTCGATCACCGCGAGCACCATAGGTAGGATGTAGCCGATGCATACGACACGCTGCGAGACACGAATTTTTTCCTCCCTCCTCTACACGATCGCCACAATTTATACGTCTAACTCGTGTCTTTCCCGAAATTTAGGGGCCCACTAATTTCACCATCCTCCATCATTCTCTCTAATCTAGCGTGCGACGTCTTTTCGAATTCGCTTGGCAATCCACTCCGCCTTCTTCTGTCGTTCGACTCCTTTTCTCGTATTCTTCGTAGCTCGGTTAAGATGCTTGTATCGCGAATGTACTCGAAAAAAAAGCTAAAGGATTTCGGACAGACACAATATTCATAAACCGAGATAGAAACATCGCTATTCCTTTTAAAGTTGTATATCGCGTGACGAAAATTTTCGACAAACATTAAATTACTTGTCATATTTATCGATGAGCAAACTGCTGAATTTGACAGTCGCGATACAACTACCATAAAGACGGAACCAAATATTTCGTCGCGTTCACGCGATCGTGCGAGCATCGTTTCACGTGACTCTAATTGGAAGATCCAATTAACGCGCGAGCAATCGGCAAATCGATTAGGAATCACCGCGATTATGACGCTTCGCTGCATCGGAGCACCGTACCGGGACAGCCGAGATAGCACCACGGACCGTGATGTTTATCTGGGCCCATCTTTCATTATTAAAATGAAACTAAATACCGAAGATGCGAGTCTAACGAGCAACGGGCCTACATCGCCAGTGGTGCTTCGCGCCACCTACGTGATCCACGATTTTTCCCTCGAATTAGCATCGTTTCTTCAAGAATTTCATCGAAAACGTAGAAAATGAGATCTATGCGAAGACGAAACGTTACAGTATTATCGACGCTATATTCGACGAAACTTGTGGTTCTTTCGTTTCCAATAACTAACTTGGCGTTCGCGTTCAAAGACGCTTACTAATATTGGTTGAAGTTAATTACGTACAAGCACGTTCACGCGGCGTTTCGTACGCTGAACTAGGTCATTCTAAATATGTCGGGAATAGAGCGCGCGTTTATTAAAGATACGAAAAATCATTCGGAAGTCTAAAGTATCGATTTAATTCCATTGTTCGTTATAGTGACGCGCATAAAATCCAAACACCTGGCGTTGAAAATTTCAACATTCGCGACTGACAAGTTTTGACAACCGCTGAGGAGACGAGTTTCTCGGGACGTTAGGATGGAAGACGAATCGCAGAAGAACGTCGTTCCGCTCCGGGCAGAGATGATCGATGAGAGGGTCTGACCTACCAGTCGTCCCAGAGAACTCGTCTTTAAACGCGGTCTGTCCAGTCGATTCGATATAATTATTTTACGTATGCGTGCCGCGGAACGGGCAACATCGTTTCGACTTTCGGCACACGTCAAATCCACCGTCACGCTCTACCTGCGTTTAATTGATCGAGCCGGGGCCTCGAGTGAGGCCTTAGAGCCTCGTCGACGTTTAGATCGCGCGAATCTCACCTTCGTCCTTCTCGTTGTCGTCGTCCAGTTCCTCGGACAGATTATCGTCCTCCTCCTCGTCGTCCTGCGAACGATGCGACGCCTCGGCTTCGCTTCCGGAGTGCTCGCCCACGCTTCCGCTTCCCGCTGTCTTTGACAGGTTCAGCACGGGACTGTGACCGTTCGACGAACCTGTCAACAATTTCGTTCGTTTTATTCGACGCGTTCGTTATCGCCCTACGAGTTCGCGACTAATCGCAAACGATTAATCTTTTCGTACGAATATGTCGCGAAATACGATGAATTTAGTTAACCTATAGAATCTACGATCTTCGCAACATTGTAAAACTGCTAATCTCCAAATTGCAATTATTAACCGCTATAGCGCATAGAAGTAACCCACTTCTACGCGTATGATGGATTTTATTTATCTCCGTGCATCTATGTTTGCCCGACAACGAACGCCCATTTTCCGTCGCCCTTTCTGTTTGATATCCTAGCATTTTAATCCTGACGTGGATAGATACTGTTTGGCCAACGACGCCAAAGGGAATGACGCATCGTCCACAGCGTCGGACGAACGTCCACGTACCAATCTTTCCGTAGATCAAGTTTGGCTAACTTTGTGTCCAACCGCAAAATTGTTTTATCGCTACACGAGGACGCTTCGATTATACCTAAAGATGCGAGAGTTACATTATGGGATTTCAAATGATAAGCAAATTGTAAGAATTGAAATTACAAAAATTCGCATTTTCTATCTACCGAAACGCATTCCGATAGATCCGAAACCGATAGATCGATCGAGTACGGTCGACGAAATCCTCCGGAGAAGAACGGAGGATCTACGGAGGACCACGAACACGATCGGATTCGAAATCGAATCGCGTCCAGTTTGTCGCCAGTCGGGACGAGGAGCGTGCGCTAACCAGCAGGATAAAAGGTTCGATCGGACGGATTAAAATATTACGGGGAATCCGAAGAAAGACGGAGCCGCGGCCGCGGTGTCCCGTAACCCGATATCAAGCTTAATCTTCTTGGGCCTCCTAAACGCTCGGACGGGTCAGCGACGAGAAATAAAGAAATCGAGAATGGGACTGGACCCGAGCGGACACGACCGACCAACCGTACAATCGTGGCCTTCTTTTGATCGTTGCTTTCCTATCGACCATCTGGGATTTAATTCGTTTTATCGGGGAAGATGTAAACCTCGTTCGCGTATCTTTTGTTCGTTCGTGGAAAGCACATGTTTTAGGCCTTGGTAATGTTTTAAAGAAACAAGTCCGCTAACTTCGAATTCTTGGCTCGGGACACTTTAACGCGGCACGATGCGATAGTTAGCAGGAATATTAAGGGAAAGGACTGTTTTCTGCTTCGCTCGATGTAACATTGTTCGTGGATCAAGGCAAACAGTCAACAACTGACGAACCAACACGGGTGAATATTTTAACGAGAAAACAACGAAGCTTCGTCGTGTCGTACGATTAAAAACTGCTAATTTCGTAACCGATCAAAGAATCACGAACCAAACCGTTTTCCGATCCTCTCGACTGTCAAATGCTTCGCAACGTTTGCGAGAGAATTTTCGAAGAGAAAAGGCTGCGTGAAAAATGGTCCCGTGACGACCTCGAGTCACGAGAAGAGCGTTAGGTCGGCGGGGAAAGAAAGATGCACCGTTCGCATCGTCCGCGATAGTCGCTTCCTCGAGCCTGTAATACCACACGGCGTTATTCGCGTAGAATTATCGGGCCGATTACTATAATTACGGTAAACGAGCGTACGCGTATTTATCTTACCATTGTGCGAGCTCAGATCCCTGGGTTTTTGGTCCAATGCGAGTGCTCTCTCGGCGTCCGCTCTGTCCTCGCGGAGCCTGCAAACATCAAAGTACACATAGATACGCTTTCAGCATCGATGCTCCGACGAATTCGAATCCATCGCTGACCGAGCGGAGGTGGACTCGGCCGCGCTGGCCATTAATTAAATAATTATTCTAGTCGTCGAGCGAACGAATCGCGTAGGAAGATAAATGCAGGTCTTCGCCGAGACCGCGTTCCATTCGATTATTACCGTTAATCGATTTGATTTTTCTTTTTCTCCGTCGGGATGTCGCGCTACGTTTCAACCTCCAGGTAACGCGTAAACCCGGCCCTATTCTCTCCGTCTCGTCTACGAACGCTCCGATACAACCTAGGCTTCGCGTGCGTCTTCAATTACGTTAATTGCATGTTTATAACCTAAACGTTGCGTATCGTTCAACATTCGTATACAAGACTTTATTGGACAATAACAGCAATTATTACCCTCCTCGACGATTCCGACGACCTACAAATTTTTTATCAAGGACATCACCTTCTACAATTGCTATTTCCGACATATCAGGACAAATATACTCGGTACGTTTGTCGCGGAGCGACCGCGGGAACACGTAACGTAACCGATCTAATATCGTTATATCGCCATCCTTTAATGCTTCGGTAAATTCGTGTAAAAATACAGCGACAATTCAGTCGCGTGCACGGATCGTGCTGTCCGAAAAGCGAGAAAAGCGTCGACGCTTTTATCGCTGACACCACGCTCGAGGTCATCCGCATATTTACGATATTTTGCCGAGGAGACGCGACAAGACGCGTCGTGAGAGTAGGAAATGGCTGTTTTCTCGGCCGATTACTCTCTCTCCGCTTCTTTCTCTCCTCCTCCTGCAAATTATTCTCCCGGGTATACTTTTTCCAGCTCGGTCGGTCCGCGTCGAGCCTCTTCGCACCTCGAATCGAACCGCGGACCATTAAGTAAGAAGTTAATATCGTTAAACATAATATTGGGCGCATCTGGGAGCCGCAGAGCACTTACCGATCCTCCCCCGTCCGCTTCGCCGCAAAACCACCCCTCGTACCGGTTCGCGCGAGTCCGCGAGACCTCGTCCCACCCCCAGCAACCGCTTCCTCGCATCTCGACCCCTCGAACCTTAATTTTTTAATGAGAAAATGCTTTCAAAGAGCCGGAGAGAAATACCGTGCGTCTACGAGCGATAAGTTATGGCCGCGTTAAGCGGAATGGAGGAGAGAAGACTCTCCTCCTTTTTCTTCCCTTTTCCATTCCCATTCGATTCGCGAACGACCACCGGAAAATGTACGCGCGGCTCTGTCGTTTCAGCCTGAAATCTTCTAAGATTCGCTAGTTTGTCGGTGAAATTTACGAGCGTTCGGAATTCCGTACAAGAGTGCTGCTTTTAAAAAATGAAAATGGACCGAACACGTCTCCTGGACGCGTCTTCGTGTCTGAAAATTAATCGTTTCGCCATTAATCCTTATCGTATGGAATTTAGTGTTTTCTCGTATAATCGATAGAAATGAAAATACAGAGGTACTTCTATACATATAATGATAAGCCGAAGCGTAAGCTTCTCTAGGAAGCAGACGCGCCAAATTGTTCGTTCTTCGTACGCTTTCGTCGAAGAAGGGTTCAAGCTTCCCTCTATTTTCGTCCACGATCGTCGTGGCCAGCGAGTATTAGAAGCGTCGTGCGCGTCCGATATCGTAACGACTTAATTTCGACGATAATTAAATTTTAATTGGTAATACGAGTCGATTAAGACAGCCGATGGGTATCTGGACCCGCCTACTCTTGGCCCAACGAATTCGGACGAGAAGGATACACGCCGAGATTCGGAGACCCGGCAACTTTGGGTTCCAATGGAACGAGATGGCCGAAGGGGAGGGTTGAGAAAAGGGTTGAGGAAAAGGAACGGATAGACCGCGAACGAGAAGAAGAAAACGGAGAAAGGGGAGAGAACCGGAGGAAGAGAAGGAGCGCGAGGGCGAGGGCCGATTCGCTTAGACGTCGTCGTAACCGGCAACGAGCCGGGGTTATTAAATTTGTAATTAGTCGAATATTACGGCGAGCGTCGCTGCGCGCGCGTTTCGCGTCGTCCGCGAGACCTCGTCCCACCCCCAGCAACCGCTTCCTCGCATCTCGACCCCTCGAACCTTAATTTTTTAATGAGAAAATGCTTTCAAAGAGCCGGAGAGAAATACCGTGCGTCTACGAGCGATAAGTTATGGCCGCGTTAAGCGGAATGGAGGAGAGAAGACTCTCCTCCTTTTTCTTCCCTTTTCCATTCCCATTCGATTCGCGAACGACCACCGGAAAATGTACGCGCGGCTCTGTCGTTTCAGCCTGAAATCTTCTAAGATTCGCTAGTTTGTCGGTGAAATTTACGAGCGTTCGGAATTCCGTACAAGAGTGCTGCTTTTAAAAAATGAAAATGGACCGAACACGTCTCCTGGACGCGTCTTCGTGTCTGAAAATTAATCGTTTCGCCATTAATCCTTATCGTATGGAATTTAGTGTTTTCTCGTATAATCGATAGAAATGAAAATACAGAGGTACTTCTATACATATAATGATAAGCCGAAGCGTAAGCTTCTCTAGGAAGCAGACGCGCCAAATTGTTCGTTCTTCGTACGCTTTCGTCGAAGAAGGGTTCAAGCTTCCCTCTATTTTCGTCCACGATCGTCGTGGCCAGCGAGTATTAGAAGCGTCGTGCGCGTCCGATATCGTAACGACTTAATTTCGACGATAATTAAATTTTAATTGGTAATACGAGTCGATTAAGACAGCCGATGGGTATCTGGACCCGCCTACTCTTGGCCCAACGAATTCGGACGAGAAGGATACACGCCGAGATTCGGAGACCCGGCAACTTTGGGTTCCAATGGAACGAGATGGCCGAAGGGGAGGGTTGAGAAAAGGGTTGAGGAAAAGGAACGGATAGACCGCGAACGAGAAGAAGAAAACGGAGAAAGGGGAGAGAACCGGAGGAAGAGAAGGAGCGCGAGGGCGAGGGCCGATTCGCTTAGACGTCGTCGTAACCGGCAACGAGCCGGGGTTATTAAATTTGTAATTAGTCGAATATTACGGCGAGCGTCGCTGCGCGCGCGTTTCGCGTCTTTACGGTTTCAGTTTGAGCGTGTTGCGTGTGCCCGCGTGCGTTTAGCCGCGCGTTTACCTGGGCCTCGCGTGAGTAGACACCTAGAACCGAGCACAGCCTTTACGCCACGTTAATACATCATGGATTTCATTAGGCGCGCCTATGGCTGCCACGACTCGCTGCTAGTCGCGAATAATTAGCGAGAGAACCTTCCCTTCGGGAAGGCGAGACTTCTTGCCCGAACAAGCCATACTCGGCTAACGAAATATTATAGAATTGTTCGTTCGATCAAATTTCAGTAGCAAAATATAGGATCATCGTCTACTTAGCAATCTCCCAATTTAGATACCCTTCAACGATTCCGATTCATTTTTCGATTTACCTATTCTATCCGGAATAAAGGCGACCATGAAAAATCAATATCAATAATGAAATTACCGAAAGCTCGCAAGACACAAAATCCCGGCAGCGATCAAACAGCTCGAAGATTACAAGACATCGAGCGTTCATCGGCATTATCCTCGATCCATGATTGAACTATATTAACGTATCCTCCCGCAGCTACGCGACTAATAAGCCGAACGAACTGCCCTTCCTCTCTCTCTCGCCCCAGATCTTTGCCTTTAATTTTGATTCGGTAATGACGAGCTCGGCAGGGATTCCCCGGCGAGGAACGAGCGGTCGGCTCAGCAGGAGTTCATTAACAGCCGTATTTCGAACGCGAAGAAATCATCGTATCGCTAGACAGATTTCGACGAGATTTCGAAGAGGAGGCCGGCCACGCGACGATTCGACAGTTTTTCCCTGCGTCGAGTTTTTAATTAACGCATCGGCTTCCTTTTTTGGCGGGATCGCGGAAGCC